TTTCTCCTGTTACGATTGAACTTAAATTTTGCCCACACCTAGATAAGTGAACATTGTTTCAGAATCAGAAGAAAAAAGGGGGAAAAATCAATAAGAAACTCCCGGGCCCGCAAAAACCTCCGAGGACACTCATTCTTCCCAAATATGCATCTTTATCGACATATTTCGGTACTTTTTACTGTTACGATCAAACTTAAAGTTTGCACACCCCTAGATAAGTGAACACCGTTTGAGAATCAGAAGAAATGTGAAAAAAATCTTATAACGAACTCTCGGGCGCGTAAAAACTTCCGAGGACACTCTTAGGACACTTATTAGGGTGACCGATGTTTTCGGCACCAAATCGCATATTTCCCGATAAAATATGGCAGATGGAAGTAAATAACGTCTACAAAGGTGATATTTCACAGTAATACAGAAGTATTTGGTTCCTAACTGGGTCGTAAGGAGTAGTATTATGTAGTATTGGGTAGTATTGGGTAGTGTGTATTGGGTAATTAGGCGTACCGCTCTCCTTTGTGTGGAGGTAAAATTAGAGCAGAGGAAAAACAACGATATCCAAAGCTAAGGCCAAGGGCTGAAGGAGATTTGACCTAGCATCCTGTTTAGCAGACAAGGAACCACCGTGGTCACCAATGATGGTAATGTATAGCTTAGGAAGGCTATGTAACATATGAAGAACGACAAGTTTGATAAAGTTTTATATAATTTCGGAAATGACGCAACATGATATCGAAGTCAAAGCCATTCATTGCAGGGTCACAGCTTACAGCCTTAGTAAAGTTAGTAGTACCGGGCCTCCTCTGCTCCGACCGGGTATCAAATCGATTCCATGCCATGTAATGGAGCAAGCCCGGTGTGAATCACACCGTGGCGGTTTTAGCATTAATTGACAGCATATGTGTTTGCATCCATACATTGGTCAAGTTGGGCACAACGGCGCATATGATGATATGGGTAACAGTTACCCATTTGAGCACAGGTACTAGCCTCGTCTCTCAATACACCTATAATTATAGGTGTATTGACAGTCGAGACTAGTACCTGTCATTTGAGTAACAATTGTATTACTGAAATGGGGAATAAAGTGAAATAAAAACACATTCTTTTTGTTATGCCCAACCTGTTGGTTTGAAATATCAACTATTGATGTTGATCTCCTTTGTATCTTGAAGTTAATCTCTGCCTAAAATGTTGTTAAATTATCAAGTTTACGTAGCGAGGGCAACATGGTTTGATCCCTAGTAAACGCACACATTCTATCTGCTTCCTCATGAGGCTATACCAGTATATTCTTCCTTCCTGTTACAGATTGTGTACACACACATGTACAACACACATCACATGCACACCCACACACTCTCCATCTTAATATACATATCTATAATAATGATGTATTAATAAAAAATATGCAGCATTGCTGTCACTGTCATCATGATCAATATTAGAAACTGGAAAATCAGAATTGTATGCTACTAAAGTAATATATACCATAACCTGTCAACTGCTAATTTATGATAATGCAATACTAATACTTTTAGCAAGAGTTCTGTATTATGGATGATCAGATTATTATATTAAAACCTTACACTGATTAATGTGACCTTACAAAGTACACCCCAGTGTTCTCCCCAGGGCTTCCTATAAGCTACTTACCAGTCCACAGGGGGTCAGCTAGACCTACTGTGTATAGGCCTAGGCATGAGGGCTATATGAAATTACAACATGTTACATATATTATTACCTTGGATATATCTATTTGTTAATATGCTTTACCATTGTAGTGTAACATTGTAGTAGCTATAGGCCAGACCATATGTAAAACTGTTTATTGTTCAAGGCATTACACAGGTTTCTCCCACACCTGACAGATTCATCTCCCATTTTGCCGGTGCTAGATTTATCTGTCTCCGCCCTAGGGTTGAGACGGGGGGATTCCCCTTTTCATAACAATGGCATGACGTCACTTCAACAATACAATGACGTCACGTCAACAATCCATCAACAAATTGCCTGTATGTGTTTTGGGTCCATGTTTACCTTTATTTCACATTAAAATACTGTTAGATATGGGAGCAAAATAATCAATCGCTACTGGTTGTGTAAGATAGTGAAATCTCAACCCGAGGACTAAGATTTTTTTCCAGAACTCAAGCCTCGTTCTGGACAAAAAATCTTAGTCCTCGGGTTGAGATTTCTCTATCTTACACAACCAGTAGCGATAGATTCTATTAATCCTCCAGGCCCAATATTCTGGGTCTAGCTGTGCCCACCACTCATTTATAAATATCTTACCTGGTGGTTTTAAAGTCCTTTTATCCCCAAATGTTGAATTTTGAATCGCCTATAGCAATATGTATAGTGACACTGAGTATTGTACAAATGCATAGTCAATATAAAAATAAAGTCATTATAATGTGGTGATGAACAAATAAAAAGAAATTGTGAACATTTTGCGTCTCTATTTGACTTAAAGATAAAACCTATGATTCATAGCTGTGCTCTAGGAACTAAGTTATTTCTGGTGAGGTCCCTGTTTACACTTGCGAACTATATCTTACATATATTCTTAATTAATTTATGAAAAAGATATATGACTATGCAATATCATTTTAAAATCACCTAAATGGTATAAGTATAGAACAATTAATAGAACAAATTCATCCTGCTTCAACTTTTAAATGTTGTTTTTTCTCCCAAGGTAAATGGGGCTGGATAATGACTCCTTTAGTTTCTCGATGCAAATTGGACATTCTTATTTCAGAAATGGAATTTTCAAGCAGTAAAAAAAAGTAAATTTCATCCCAAACATCACCAAGTAATTACTGAAAATTATGACCTCTGTCTCTCAAAAAAAAAACAAAAAAATAAAAAAAAAATTGTAACTTAATTATTACCAAAATTTTGAGATTTTGAATGAAGGAATTTCCACAATGCACATTTATTTTTTTAAAACAAGGATCAAAATTAAAAGTCTTTCAAAACATCTGTAAAATTTGCAACAATAATTACTAATGAGATTCTAAACAGTAAATTATGAATTTGCAGAAAGGGAAGTGAGATATTGTGTAGACTAGATTGTACAAGAAACGACTAGATTGTACAGGAAAAACATGATTTATATGCTTGGCCTTAGTGATCATAATATATGACATAATTATGACTGGAAGTAGTTATAGACTTAGGGGGGATATAGAACACTACATATCTTGTATCAGAGGGTTTAGGACTGGACCAGTTATTTAGGAGTCAGTACAGAGTAAGGTATCAAAAGTCAGGACAAAGATGAAGTACATGAATTCGAAGGTAATATAAATATTCTTTATTAATCAAAATGATTTTCATACATTTTTCTTCAGGTTAGCTCAGAAGATTTTCAAAATGTCAATTAAGAAACATTAATACTAAGAGATATAGCTACATGTATAGTTATTAAAATGTGAATTGAATAGTCCCAAAGGGAAAAACATGCATCCAGAACACAATGATGTTTTTGATTTATGTATAAACTCTTTTAAATAGATATATAAGATGGGTCTGCATGTATAGATACATTCTGTATTGATAATATTTCTTGTTTAAGCAGGTGCTCCAAATAAAAACTTTTCAAGAAAAACTATGCAAGCTAGAACATGACAAAATTGACTTAATATGCTTTATACATAACTAAAAGAATCAAGGAAACAGTTAAAATGTTTATTAACGATAGTCCGAAGACTATAAACCACAAACGAAATATAAACCTTATTTCTTTGGCGTACATGGGGCTACTCACTCATTAACCAAAATAACAATAGGCTTGACTCTGAGAAAAAACAGAGAAGCACTGTGCAGTAACATGCTAAATCAGCTTGACTCTGACTTTATGAGAAGTAAGCTTGACTCGGTAGACCCTGGAGAAGCAACGTGACTCGAAAAATCAGAGAAGCTATGATAATGGTAATATTCAGCTTGACATGGAATCTGTGAGAAATCACTTGACTCAGAAGATTGAGCTCTTGCTTAAAGAAGTGATTTGACTCCAGACCAACAAGCAGGCGATATAGAACAAGGTCAGACTAGAGCTTGACTCTAACTTGTAGAGAAGTGCTTGACTCTGAAAGACTCATGAGAAGCCCTTGACTCGTACAAGGAGAAGTCTAGCCTAACTTCAAAATTTTAACTGCACATTCTGATACAACATAGTAAAACTTAATTGATAAATTGTAATAAAACTGTATGAATGTAAGAATACTTAAGAAGGGCGATTGGGGGTAAAAATTCCCCAGAATTTAAAAGCCAAAAGGAAAGAATAGTTTAACTATGAGTGAGTGCATATTTCAAATCTATGCAAATTTCAGCTTACATTGTTACCATGGCAACATGTAATCACCAACAAATGGCTTCTGATTAGTTATACTACTGGGGAAGTATTTCAAATCAGTAAAGAAATCAATTGAAAGGTCAATGAATGTTTTTTGAGTTTTGAATCGTTTTAGGGCAAAAGGCTTAATTAAACCATATGTACCTGCATGTATTATACATATTTTACATCAGGAAGAAATTGTGTATTAAAAACCTAAACATGTCGACTAAAAAGCTATATCCTTAGATGACGAATCATAAGTGAAAAAATTGATACGGTTTCAATCATTTAAACTCTTAAACATGTTTTTGAAGGCAATTCTGATGGTTACTATAAAGTAAGAAAAAAATAGAATCAGTTGGTCTACTACATACATGTATACATTTTGTATGGTGATATATATGGTTTCTAGATGATAATATTTCAAAGAACAGTTCAATTTTGATACCATAAATTTGCGGGTATAGTGCGCAGGTAAGTTTTTGGGGTCAGCTTTTCTTTGGTTTAAGTTTTCTTGACTTTTTTAGAAAGTTTTCAGTTTTATTTTGATTTTTGTAAACTCTGAAATCAGGTTCCAGGTACCAACATGTTAACTAGTTTCACTTTCAGTTTCCACTTAACTGTATTGAACAGATTAGATCTATGTATATCTGTTCAGAAATTTAGTCATTGTCTAGACAGTAGATATACGTGTAGGGATATTTTATCTGTCACACATGTGTGTTTGATAATATTTCATGTTTGTAAAATTGGATTAGTGTTAAATATTTGTGTAGGATAATAGACTTGTATATGTTTAACATTGAGAAAATGGACATTGTGAAGATCATGGTAAGTTTTCCTATATATCCTATCGTCTCATAAGGGAATCTCAATGTTGGTTTTTTTACCTGATTTTAAATTTAAAGGTACATTTTTATTGTACTTTGAATTTTTGCCTCGTAAACTAAAGGAAAATATGACATTTTGAAGATTGAAAAAGATTACATCTATTTCAAATGGTTTATATAACTTTAAGCATTACAAAACAAGAAAAAGGTTCTTTTATTTAAAGTGTCGTTCATTTGACCTTCACTTATTTTTGATATAAAATGTACAATACTGAAGCTGACATTGACCTTCATATTTGTATGTATACTTAAGGGTTGAATTCTGTTTTGTTGAGGTTTATGGGGTATAAACCTCAATTGGTCTTGCGACAAGTTTTATGAACTGCAAAGCAGTTCATTTTGAATTTGTCTCAAGACCCATTGAGGTTTATACCCCATAACCCTCAACAAAACAAGATTCTATCCTTATATTTACATTCAGAGCGATATTGATATTTGTTCGGATAATTTTTAAAATATTGGTCTTGTGCAAGTCTAACACTGTGGAAGGTATCAAAACTTATGACGTTATTACTCAATATAAGCAAATTAAGATGTAAATTATTTTTTGACAAAAAAACCAAATTGAAAACAATCTATGAATGGAACTACCTCCCGCGCTCCGCGGAATAACAGAGTAATCAGGTTGATAATATGCTGATGTATTCATACGCCAATTGAAAAGTTCATTGAAAAATAACTTTTTAAATGTTAAGCAGGTATATTGAGTCCAAGTTCAGTAGAAATGTAAATATTTATCAATATACTTTGCCCTGTGTCAGATAATCTTGTATATGTAACGTCATACAAATGGAATTATCAATATGATGTACAGTGCTTGGTAATTTCAGTGAGGACGTATAGCACTTTCAAAGTTGACATCAGATATGGGCATCGCGAGGAACCAACATGAATATATTCCACCTCCAGCCCACACACACACCTCATACACACATAAATTAAGGCACTGCCTTAAATAAAATCTGTTGTAAATTTGATACTTGCGTGTATTTACCCTATAAACCAAACCAAAACATCTATGGAGATTATCATATATGTGCAAAAGTGTCCTACCTCATGACCACTGGTCTGTGTACATTTTCGCCTCGCCTGGGAGAGTTGTTTAAAGTATAAAATTTCCACTTCAGGGAAGTGGGGAGCTTCAACATTAAGTAACTACATGTAGATCTGTTTCTAAAGAAATTTAAGCCCTAAACCAACCAAATGGACCCCAGTGCCTAAATATACACCCATTATGAAATGTTTTCACTTGGTTAGAGGTTGATCTAAACATACTCAGAAAAAATAGCCAGTTCAAAGTTCATTAATTAATAGCAGGCTGCTTTTGGACAGAAACCAGCTTTTAATCAGAAATGTGGCACATCTGATTAAGCACTATAGTTGTATATTTTATTTCAGAATTGGTTTAAATTATTATTGATTTTCATTTTTTGCAGTTTGAAGAATTGAGGAATCAAAAGCATGTCCATATACGCGACTGGGATTTTGTTAAGAGCACCATAGAAAATATGGTGAAAGATGGACCTGACAAACTACAGGTAAAATATGTACCTTGACACGTCTTAATTGTCCTAACATGATAGAAAACAACATGATGAAGGGTGGACCTGACAAATAAAAAAAATACTGGTAAGATTTGTAGATCTATGTGAATGTCAATTGTTCTATTATGAGAGAAAAAAATTGTGAAAGATCAATCGACCTGACAGACTACAGGTAAAATATGTAGCTACAATATTGTACAGTACAAGTGTTATTTGTCCTGTTATGATAGACAAAAATATGAAGGATGGAGTACCTGACAAATAGGAAAGTTACTGGTAAGATTTGTAGATATGAATGGTAATTGTACCGTAGAAATATAGCGACCGGTAAACCTGACAAATTTCAGGTAAGTTAATATTCTACAAGTGCTTAAGGTCGAATGAGTGTATTGATGAACGGAAATAGGTTGTACATCCCTAATTGAAAATCCATTGTAGGGAGACAGTATCACAATTTTCCGCATATTCTAATGAGTCTAGAGCTGTTTAATCTTAAACTGATCAATATTGTATGTTTAATATTGACAGAACAGTGTGTTCTCTCAATATTAAAGTATTTCAAATCAATCCAGGCATTAATTCAGCTGTTTTTTATCAATGAGTCACCTGTGTCCATTTTTCTGTACTTCAGGAAACAGGTTACCTATTTTACTACTGTGAAGATTTTTGAATAAAGATAACTCTTACCTGCAATTACTATGTGAATATGTATGGTATTATTATAAAATGTCAATTTTTAATCGATTTCAGCATTTATTAAATTGATATACATTAATGCAATACTAATCTATGGCAGTATCATTTTTATTGACATTATTTTGCAAAAGAATGTGTCTTTCATTTTTCTTCAAAATTCACTCCTTTTAACATAAATTTCCATTTAAAATCCTTAAAATTCTGACAACCTATATTTTTTTTGTAGCAGAAAATTTGCTTTACTTCAAAGCAATATACAACTACAAAATTTGAAGAAATTCTACTGAGAAATGGTTACACAAACCTATTACCTTAATACCATTGAATTCCGTATTACATACATTCTGTTCAGTATCATTGCCCTGGTGACTGACATGTGTAAAAATACATACTGGTAATGGATACATTTGTGGCAAATTTTAATGGTACATACAATGTATAGGATTACGGTTGCCTTCTGCTAGCTTTGAGCTAGAGGGAATTTCCCTTAGCTCATGATCAGTGGTAGAGCGTGGCTGGGTCCAAAAAGAAAGTTCGGGGCCGCAGATTCGATCCCAGGTGGAAGCAAACTACTATTCTCTTACCTGTTATAAATGCCTCAAAATGTGTCCTCTTTACAGGTTGTGGCTGACTTTGACAGAACGCTGACAAAGTATATGAACAATGGAACCATCTGTGCGACATGTCATAGTAAGTGTTAATTAGCATGACATGTAGGTTAATAAGAGTCACTTGACCAAAGTGTGGGTTAAGAATCCTTGTACCACTGCCAGAAACTATATTTCTGCACTCGAAAATTTTACTCTCTTACTCTGAACAGGTGTATCCACATTTTTTTTCGATGTGAGATCATATTCATTTCTCCCACCCTTCAAAGGTGTTTCTCCCGTTTTAGCCGGGAAAGATCAGCTTGTCACCCCCTAGGGGGAGAAAGCCTCGTACCGATAAGCACGTGTTCAAAAGAGACATCATTAAAATGTGTCACTGTCAATTGTGACGTCATCAAAAGTGCATGACGATATTCCTACCCGACATGCGTTTTTGTTTACACTACTGTCTGCGGAGTTGTGACTGAAATAATAGGGTGGGAGAAAAATTATCATCCCCTACCTTAAGGGTGTAACAGGGAAATCTACAACCCTCAGGGTGATTATTTTGCTTGTCTAACCCTCGGCGGAGCCTCGGGTTAGACAGTCAAAAAAATCATCCCTCGGGTTGGAGATTTCTCTGTAACACCCTCAGGGTAGGGGAAGATTCTATACGTCAACAGGCCATTTAAACATCAAGTCGACGATGCATTGAGCTTGTAATGTCCACATAGCATTATGTATATGGCAGAGTCAACAGGATAAGACAAAAATAATCATTCACTCCCTATGGGTGAGATGGGGAATCTCAACCCTCAGGAAAGATTCTTAAGTAGCCAAACACTTAGCAAGCCTTGTGTTTTGCAACTGAAGAACCTACCCCTCGGGTTGAGATTCACCTATTTTACCCCAAGGGAGTGAAAAGATTATGTTATCCTTGGCATGACTAAAGCTTTGATAAATCATTTCTTTAAAGATAAACAAAGCTAACTGCAATAATTAAAACATAGTCCACAGCAATGTTTTGAGTGTAAAAGTATAAAGAGGCCAGACCAGGATATGAATCCTAGACTAACAATCATAATACCAATCCTAGACTAACAATCGTAATACCAATCCTAGACTACCAATGGTAATACCAATCCTAGACTACCAATCATAATACCAATCCTAGACTACCAATCGTAATACCAATCCTAGACTACCAATTATAATACCAATCCTAGACTACCAATCGTAATACCAATCCTAGACTACCAATCGTAATACCAATCCTAGACTAATAATCGTAATGCCAATCCATCATAATACCAATCCTAGACTACCAATTGTAATACTAATCCTAGACTACCAATCTTAATACCAATCCTAGACTACAATGTACCAATCCTAGACTACCAATTGTAATACCAATCCTAGACTACCAATCTTAATACCAATCCTAGACTACCAACTGTAATACCAATGCTCTTACCAACCAATCTGTCCGTTAAATAGATCAGTATCCCGATCTAGGGGCACTCCAGTGTTATCCAAAACAACATGAAGGGGAGATAACTATATACAAAAAAATATGTCTCAATTCTCTAGTGTTTTCTCTGCAGTGGGACAGGGATCTTTTAACTGGAAAATAAAATGTACAGAATCATCTGCTTGATTAAATTCTGAATTACGATGTGTCACTGATGTGTTAAATAACTGAGGATATAGAATGGTACAAAATATACAGCCAACAGAATCAACAATACAGATCACATGCAGATACCTATTCACAACATACAAAATAATGAAGAATGAAAAAACTATACATACATGTATATGACATCTATGAGTGTTGTATGATCACTCAGCTGACTATTCAACAACAACCATCATAATCCATCAGGTATTCTTTTATTCAACAGATAACAAAACATTACTATCCCATGTTATGTTACTTTTATTATCCATCATACTTTTTATGTCACCCCTTGTAAATAAGGGAGACAACATTGCATTAGAACTGGTTCTCCTTCTTATCTGATATTGTACCGGCCATAACTATTAATTGGCAGTATCCCTACATCACCCAAAGCACTACAAAATAACTAGGTGTCCATGACCTTCACCTCATGGTTATAATGGTGAAATAAGCAGTTGTCTATACTGGTGCTTAGAACATGACATTTGGTTTGAAATTTCAACCTTTCAGTCTCCAGTTCAAACCAAATTTCCGGTGCTTATTGCTAGTATATCCACACAAAAGGACATATTATCCTCAAATGAATATAAAGATTCAAACAAAATATTTTCCAGTTCATAACTTTTAAACAGTTTCAGTTGTTTTGATGAAAGTATACCTGCACAGTGCTTTGTAATATTTAGGCCATGACGACAGTTAAAAATCAAATCAGTGCAAAATTTTAGTGAATATTTCATGAGCTATTAAACTCATTATAGATTGAAGGATGATGCAACTGCTGTTCCTCTGACCTGTGTCGCCCACAGAAGGTTTGCAGTGTATTGTAATACTATATATTTTATTGGGATATTCTCCCCTGGGTCTAAGGTCAAATACATGTTAGTGCATAAATATATGCATATTGGCTGATGAAATGAAACATATGTTTTTGATCACAAAAACAAGACATTTGTTTAATATTACAATTCAATTATAATTTTTCAGAGGTTCTTGAAGAAGGTGACCATCTTCCAGAATTCTTTAGAACAAAGGTAATACAAAATGTAGTAGACAAGGGGAAATGTGGAAAAACAGTGCTAATAGGTAACCATATAGATGAAATTATCATGAAAAATCAAATCAGATAAAAATAAAGATGTGTTTGTATTGTACCAGTATTTCTGTGGTTAAAAGATTTATTTTGAAGTTTGTTACACAAATTGATATAAACACTCGAAGGAAAATAAAACAAGTCTGTTGTTTATGTGTGATTTTTGTTGTGATTGCAAGATTTTATCAGTTGTTGACAGACTTGTGTTGCATTATTGACAGACATTTGTTATGTTATTCACAGACTTGTGTTGTTGACTGACTTACGTTATTGACAGTTTTATTGTCTTTTGACAGTTTTGTTGGCTTTTGACAGACGTTCAAAGACTTCTGTTATCTGTTGACAGACTTGTGTTGCCTGTTGACAGACTTGTGTCGCCTGTTGACAGACTTGTGTTGTCTGTTGACAGACTTGGGTCGCCTGTTGACAGACTTGTGTCACCTGTTGACAGACTTGTGTCGCCTGTTGACAGACTTGTGTCACCTGTTGACAGACTTGTGTTGTCTGTTGACAGACTTGTGTTGTCTGTTGACAGACTTGTGTCACCTGTTGACAGACTTGTGTTGTCTGTTGACAGACTTGTGTCGCCTGTTGACAGACTTGTGTCACCTGTTGACAGACTTGTGTCGCCTGTTGACAGACTTGTGTTGCCTGTTGTTGACAGACTTTCATCGTCTTTGTAATGTGTTTTTTTCTCAGACTAAAGAGTTGCGCGACACCTACTTCCCGTTAGAAATGAACCCTGATCTACCAGTGAGTGAGAAGATTCCTTTGATGATAGAATGGTAAGTACATATTGACCCTGATATATGGTATATTTTCAATTCCTGGGTTGAAAAATAAAAATAAAAAACATGATTGATAAGTTGGAAAGTCCCCGCTATATTATTTACCTTTTACATTGGCCAGTCCGTCCTTTGTACATTGTTTAACGTCCTATCAACAGCTATGGTCATTCAAGGAGGGCCTCCCCTTTGTGCAAGATGCATGCGTGTAGTGTATGTGTGTATTTGGGAGGCTGCGATATGTTCGTGTTTGTTGTGTTAACTCAATTGTGTTGATCAGACATGGTGCTCAACTCCATTTTCATTATAGAGGGAACAAAGGAATATTGATGTTCCATGAACTTTCTGTAGTAACATCTGATCTAGAAGTAAGAAACGATTTCATGAAATGAGTCAAGAACATGGTTTATTTAAAATTTGTTCAAACATTTATCCTAAAAATAACATATAATTTGGTGTTATATTGCTTAATGATCAAGTGATGAGAATGTAAACTTGTCATATGCATTGTGGATCACCAACATAACTATTTGACTAAATCCTGATAGATCTTGTGAGCTGATGGCTTAAGGAACAGTAAAATGTTCTTTGTTTTAATATTACCAGTAAGCAGTTTAATTCACATATATAATGTATATTTTTTTAAGCTGTGTACATTTTCTCTAATTACTTTCAGGTGGACAAAAGCCCATGAATTATTAGTACATTGTGGCTTAACTAAACAGTCAATCAGGAAAATGGTAGAAACATCTTCAGTCATGCTAAGGTGAGTATCAGCAGCACTTATCTGAGTATCAGTCACATTTACCTCATTACCAGTTACACTAACCTGTGTATCAGTCACACTTACCTGTGTATCAGTCACACTTACTTGAGTATCAGTCACACTTACCTGAGTATCAGTCAAACTTACTTGAGTATTAGTCATACTTACCTGAGTATCAGTCTTACTTACCTGAGTGACAGTCATACTTACCTGAGTATCAGTCACACTTACCTGAGTATCAGTCATACTTACCTGAGTATCAGTCATACTTCCCTGAGTATCAGTCACACTTACTTGAGTATCAGTCACACTTAACTGAGAATGAGTCAAACTTACTTGAGTATTAGTCATACTTACCTGAGTATCAGTCTTACTTGCCTGAGTGACAGTCATACTTACCTGAGTATCAGTCACACTTACTTGAGTATCAGTCACACTTCCCTGAGTATCAGTCATACTTACCTGAGTATCAGTCATACTTACCTGTGTATCAGTCACCCTCACCTGTGTATCAGTCACACTCACCTGAGTATCAGTCACACTTACCTGTGTATCAGTCACACTTACCTGAGTATCAGTCACACTTACCTGTGTATCAGTCATACTTACCTGTGTATCAGTCACCCTCACCTGTGTATCAGTCACACTCACCTGCGTATCAGTCACACTTACCTGTGTATCAGTCACACTTACGTGAGTATCAGTCATACTTACCTGTGTATCAGTCACACTTAGCTGAGTATCAGTCATACTTACCTGTGTATCAGTCATACTTACCTGAGTATCAGTCATACGTACCTGTGTATCAGTCACCCTCACCTGTGTATCAGTCACACTCTCCTGAGTATCAGTCACACTTACCTGTGTATCAGTCACACTTACGTGAGTATCAGTCATACTTACCTGTGTATCAGTCACCCTCACCTGTGTATCAGTCACACTCTCCTGAGTATCAGTCACACTTACCTGTGTATCAGTCATACTTACCTGTGTATCAGTCACACTTACATGAGTATCAGTCCCACTCACATGTGTATCAGTCATACTTACCTGTGTATCAGTCACCCTCACCTGTGTATCAGTCACACTCACCTGTGTATCAGTCACACTCACCTGTGTATCGGTCACACTTACCTGGGTATCAGTCACACTTACATGAGTATCAGTCGCACTCACATGTGTATCAGTCACACTTAAGTGAGTATCAGCCAGACTTGGGTCACTTAAGTATATCTTACCTGAGTGACAGTCATACTTACCTGAGTATCAGTCACACTTACCTGAGTATCAGCCACACTTACCTGTGTATCAGTCACACTTACCTGAGTATAAGTCATACTTACCTGAGTATCAGTCATACTTACCTGTGTATCAGTCACACTTAGCTGAGTATCAGTCATACTTACCTGTGTATCAGTCACACTTAGCTGAGTATCAGTCATACTTACCTGTGTATCAGTCACACTTACCTGAGTATCAATCATACTTACCTGAGTATCAGTCATACTTACCTGAGTATCAGTCATACTTACCTGAGTATCAGTCACACTCACATGTATATCAGTCATACTTACCTGTGTATCAGTCACACTCACATGTGTATCAGTCACACTTACTTGAGTATCAGTCACACTTACCTGAGTATCAGTCATACTTACCTGAGTATCAGTCATACGTACCTGTGTATCAGTCACCCTCACCTGTGTATCAGTCACACTCACCTGTGTATCGGTCACACTTACCTAGGTATCAGTCACACTTACATGAGTATCAGTCACGCTCACATGTGTATCAGTCATACTTACCTGTGTATCAGTCACACTTAGCTGAGTATCAGTCATACTTACCTGTGTATCAGTCATACTTACCTGAGTATCAGTCATACGTACCTGTGTATCAGTCACCCTCACCTGTGTATCAGTCACACTCACCTGTGTATCAGTCACACTCACCTGTGTATCGGTCACACTTACCGGGGTATCAGTCACCCTTACATGAGTATCAGTCACACTCACATGTGTATCAGTCACACTTAAGTGAGTATCAGCCAGACTTGGGTCACTTAAGTATATCAGTCACAATGAAGTGACTAACTTAAACATGTTGAGGATCTCAAAAAAAGTCCATTTACCTCAGTTGAATGAAGCAAGCGTCAGAGACTTAAATGAATGTCAAATGGAATAGAAATTGGAAGTTTCAGGAGGAGAGGGAGGATCTTTTGACTCAAAAAGTCAAACTTAAGTTGCATTCAGCAAGTTTGCAAGTATAAATTTTGAACCATGAAATAACACTTGTGGTAAGCTGTATAAATAAACCTTAAATAGCTTTGATTTGTAATATGGATATTTACAATATAAGTGGAAGAAAATTATTAACCGGTTTGATACCTCTGTAATTGATGTGGACCAATTCAGTAGAATGCTGATGATTGATAGAGTGAGTCAAAGCTTGATAAAGGGACCTGTCGGTCTTGAAATGTAGTGACATGTTTAAAAAGTACATTGTTTGTGTGTAAAATAAAAGTTTGAAGCAAACTAATTATCAGTCATTAACTTTCATTGAGGTGAATATATAATGTTTGGTTGTAGGGACCGGAGAAATTAATATCAACATCAAAATCAATATCTCTTTCTTAGGTTCATATACACACATAATCACTGATATAAATAATAATGTTTACTCTGTACGGAGGAAAGTACTGCATTGAGCAGGGAACATTGTGATGTTACAATCAAACTTATGTCATTTAGTGAATATTGACTGTTGTTTCTTAAAATAGTAATACTGAGTCAATATCATAAATCACTGACCTCCACGTGATCTTGATCCAACCAATGAGGATGTAGGACAGATTTGTGTCATCTTATATTAGAATTTTCCCTGGAGCCTCGGGTTAGACGACCAAAAAACATCACCCAAAGGGTTGGAGATTTCTCTGTTACACCCTCAAGGTAGGGGATGATTATTTTTCTCCCATCCTATTATTTCAGTCACAGCTCCACCGACAGTAGTCTGCCATGTTTGTAAACAAAAACACATGTGGGGAAATGCATATCGTCATTCACTTTTAATGACGTCACAATTGAACACATGCTGATCGGCATGAGGCTATATCCCCCTAGGGGGTGACAAACTGATCTTTCCCGGCTAAAACAGGAGACACGCCTGTGAAAGGTGGAAGAAAGAGAAATCTCTGACTTGAGGGGTGATGCTTTTCTTGTCTAACCCAAGATCCTTAGGTTTCTTTGTTATACCCTCAAAGCACAGAGTGATTTTGTATGTCCCTCATCATTTTAATAGATATATTTAAAAACACAATATTTTTCAGAATTTGTGATTTTTTTTCATCCTGATTTCCAATATTCTCCTGAGATACTACAATGTGAGTTATGTTGTTGCAGGGATGGAACTGTCTGGCTGTTTGATCACCTACATGCAAACGATATTCCCACGCTGATTTTCTCGGCTGGTATCGGAGATGTCTTGGAAGAGGTGATCCGTTTCAAAGCCACTCACCATAGCAACATGAAGGTGGTGTCCAATTACATGGCTTTCGATGAATGTGTAAGTTCCAAACTTTGTGTCCAAGTTTGATGGTTATTTATATTTTTATACCAATGTGGGCATTATTTTCTTCTTTGAAGTTTTAATATGGATATGTAGGATCTTACATGAGTTGCCATTTCATATGAATCGAAACAAGTGTAAGATCATTTTTATCACATAATCAAGATTTGTGGCATTTATTCGTGTAAAACGACAATTTTCACGCCACCTCGAAATGTAAATGGCCGTCTTTTTGACTCCAGTGCGTTAGTCTATGACGTCGTGTATTTGTCCTAGGTGTGACGTCACAATTAAAACAATTGAAACTTACAACAAATCACAGGGCTGATAGGTCATATTACATGGATTAGGACACAAACAAATATGTCATGGGTATATTCACTGGATAACACAGTACATTATGTGATAAAAGATATCATTCTTTGAAATTTATTTGCTGTTAAAAAAATTCTGAAAGATATTTTTCTGAAGAAAATGAAAGAAATAAGGCTCCTTAAAATAGAACAGTTACATAATGTTTTTTTTTAGAAAATGTTGATTAGAAAACAAGCTTGTTCATTAGGTGAATCAGTGTGCTCATCATGGAAAGGGAAAGTGCCAGGATGGATGAGTGCTCAAGATATGTAGATACCCATGATATCTATTAAAGAAATGCAAGCAGCATAAAGCTTTCCATTCACTCTTAAATCTTTGAATTATGTAACTTTTATCCATCCTTAAACAGTTATGAAACAAGTATTTCATACTTATATTAATCATTGTTGTTAGCCGAAATACAAGCCTGCAGGGGGTCTTTATGTGAGAACTAAGCCAGCCAAGAGCACCCAGAGAAGACCCATCTTGTCAGGCAGGTGACCGTATATGGGTTCTGATAGGGGAGTTAAAACTTTACCATCTTTATGTAACACGAGTAGGCTGTCCACTACGCTACTGACCACCTGTTATATTTGTTTGTGTTTCAAAGACTATGATGACAGTATTTATTTCTGTTTTGATGTACGGCCACATGTCTCTGTTTTGGTGGGGAAACCTCGCTTTCTATATAGATGTAAGGCTCTACGTTTCTATTTGGATTTAGGACCGTATGTTTCTGTCTGAACTTTAAGACCCTATTTTTTCCTATTTGGACGTGGACCTTTTGTTCCTGTTGTAGGATCGTATGGTTGGATTCCAAGGGGAGATGATCCATGTGTACAATAAGAATGAGAATGCCGTCCACGAGTCGAACTACTTCACCAGTCTGGAGAATCGGTCTAACATCCTGCTCCTCGGGGACGGGATAGGTGACCTGCACATGGCTGATGGAGCGACTAATGTCAAAAATAAGCTCACAATAGGATTTCTTAATGTAAAGGTAGGTATCCATATTTGTTGATATACAAATATCAGGTGTACAAAATACTATGCTTTCATAATATCAAGGTAAGTACATGTGTAATAGGACTGTACTCTAAATGTTATGTGTCAAAGGTCAACCCAGGAACGAATTGAGTTAGTTCGCCCGAGGCTCCGTCAAGTATAGATAAATGAAATAAACTACTCAACAAAAGATATACAGTACAGGGTAAATACTTTTATTGCACCCATAGATGCTGCTTAAATATTCGACATGATTCCATACATATGACAACACTATATAACGCAAAACATAGGCCCCACCGCTAGCCCTCTAACCCCACAGACAGGAATAATAAAGAGAAAGAGGTAGAGAGAGAAGTGAGCCTACAAGCAGCTCAGTGATATCATAGACTGCTGAAACATGGTTGGTTGGTTGGTTGGTTGATGGGTTTATAAACTACATTTCACGGGCGAAGCCTGTGTTCAGTCGTCTTGAGGGGGTAAGTCTCCAGCTTACCGGGCCCTCAGAGATTCAAAATGACCTTGCCCGTCCAGGTCACGCCCTAAGGTTGGTCAGCTCCTCAGATGCGGATAGGCTGTCGCAGCTACATACAGCACGCATACGGGAACAAGTGAAACACGTCCTTTAAGCAGCTTCACTGCCCTCTCCTATATGTGCTGAAACATCCTTAACCCCGACTTTTATACCCCAAAATTACAATAGAAATCTGATAGCCAATCCAAAACCGTGTTATGCAACGACAGAGTAAATTTAATAAACCAAAGGAAGTTACTCAAATCAGATACCTGTATGACAGTCTCGACCAGCGGTAACAACAATGCCCGACGCAAGATAAATACATGACATAACCTAATAAATCTCATTTTTAACAAATATATACAACTGTTTTACAATTGTTTAACAACTTTCACTCGCATATATACACGCGACCGGTCATACATTCGTACACGACACACTCATTTCACACATGAGCAGATTAGGGAAATTGACTGAGATTTTTTTTCAAAAAATGTCAAATTTGACAATGGAAGAATATTCAGGAAGCATATAATAAATCATAAGCAGATTCTGAATTACACAGAGTTGACAATAATTTTAGAAGGAAAATGATCAGTGCTTTGATCTGGATCAAGCAGAAGCATGTTAAGACAAGTCATACTTACTGTTTTATTTCTAAATAGAAATACTGATGTTTGAATGTTTTATTGTCATTATAATGAAGTGATGAAATATAATATGGAGGAAAAAAAACAACAAGATGGGATATTTCGAGAATACCAATGATTTATTATTATACATAGTCCTCACAATTATTTGGGTACACATATAACATATCCCTTAACAATTGGGTCAAAGTTCTTTATAACTATTTTATATATTATAAGTTAGTGGTTGTTTTCATTAGGATTCTGCATCTGAGATGTAGGTGCCGTTAATTTAGTAATCACGGTGTCCATCTGTTTGTCTCTCCTTCCACACTTTTGTAACTGGAGATTATCTTGGGAATCCTTCTGAAATTTGATATGGTGATACGCTGTGAAATGCAGCTATGCAATAGGGGTTTAATAGTTTTTAAGCTCAAGGTCAAGGTTTCTGTAGCTGAAAATAGATTGAGGGAGGAGTGATCTGGCACTTGGCAGGGCCCTTGCTGACCTGTGTTCTAGTTAAAAAATTAGTGTGTATTAATTTTCATACTATCATTATTCAACCAATCGGAAATGAGCATTTAAAAATATATGCACCACTGAGTCATGAATTTTGAAGTTTTAAACTTTATTTTGAAATCTGAATAATGCTTTTACAGTCAAATCTGTTTTAAGAAACAACTCTCAGGAAGATGAAATAGTGGTCAGTTACGAGAGGTCACTCAACGCAAGTGGTCTCATTTCACAATAAATAATTAACTATGGAGAACATAAAAAGTAGTCTCTTTACACAGGTGGTCGGTTAGTTGACGTGGTCACATAAGCATTCTTTTAACTTTGACTGTAATATGTAAAATTCAATTTTCAAAAACTACACAATTTTAATGATATATGTACACATGCTAATTACATCATTTGATTGCCTGTTAATTTTATTTTCAGATTGAAGAGAGCCTGGAGTTATATATGAGTAAATATGACATTGTGATATGTTCAGACGAAACCATGGACGTGGTGAACTCTATTGTGAAAAGTATAACAACCAAGTGAAATATTAGCTGGAAACGAGACGATATCTTCACCATATGTGTTTTATAGGGAGTAGCTTTTACCTCTTCAAGGTGATCTTCAGAAAGATTAATTTTTATCATTTTTTAACAGTGAAATGTACATGCAGAGGTAGTTGTGATTAACTGTATAAAAGAATTTGTTTTCCCTGCATGTGAAATAGGAAAGACGTTATTTTTCTCTTGTAACTAAATGCATATCAACCATGTATGTTCCAAAAGGAAACGTAATCAAATTAATATTAACTGTCACTCTTGATCCAAGATTTCGGGTGAGGACCATTCAATCGATGATGAAGGGCTAAGTCCGAAAGCTGCAATCTAGAGCGGCTGTTGATAATTATTTCAATAGTAGAGTAACATCTTTTTTTTCAATCTTTAACCCATAGAAATTGAAAATAACAAAACCGATGGGAAAATGAAAATAGTAGCCTGCCAGTATATATGTTTAGATTTGGTTAAAGTGAAACGTTATTTTGGAGTACATTCTTTTTTACTATACTGTATTACTACTTTGTAGCCACCTACTTGAAATTATCAACCTAACAATGTTTCTCAAACAAGAATCTCCAGCATGTATAGCAATTCAGTGAATTACATTATTTCCTCTAACAAACATGACGTCCAACTGTATCATAAACACGTCACTAAATGAAAATATCATGTCATCCAAATTTTCTTGATTTTTTTAAGTTGAGTGGTAGATCTTTTAACAGAAATGAAATTAGATTGCGATGTTTTGAGCAACTTTTGTTTTGTTTTTATCAGTAATGAGTTAATATTCATCAACTATCAACTTTAAAGTGTTGTCTGTCATTTTAAGTTAAAATTTTCAGGAAAATCCAAGATTTAAAAAAAAAAAAGGAAGAGGGGGGGGGGGGGGGGGGGGCAATACAGTATTGCAGTATTTACCAAAAATGTGTTTGCACTTTTGTGCATTAAATGCTTCACAGATTTATGCAAATGTGCACACTTATATGTATATCACCAGTTAAAATATGGTAATTGAACCCACAAAATTATGAAGACGGCCAGTGTACAATAAGGAAGAATTGACAATGGGACGACTATATATTGGAACCTAATTTATAATTAGACCTAGAGTGATTACTCACTAGGCCTATAACAGCTATGGAAGAAAGTATATGATATCAAGACATAAGATTCAGTGTTCCTGTTGGGATTCTTTGTAATTATTTGATACTTTGGTGTTTTGGCTGATATTTGACCTCTGTGATCTCTTTAATAATGTGATACCTTTGTTAAAATAAATCATCAATATTACACATTGTCATATCAATTTTAGCTGTCTGTGTTTCATAGATATTTAGTTTTTGGTTAAGCTGGTTAAGTACTGTTTTTTTTCAGTCTCATATCAATTTGTCTATAGTACACATTATGTATAGCCCTCTGGTTGATACAGCTTCAACAACTTATATATACCCCAGTAATTTAGATGTGTTTATGCATACATCTTACACATAATGTCTTGCCATGTTAGCCATGCAATACTGCCATAAATATATATGTATATACTGTGTTAATCATTGAGTTGAGTGAAATGATTTTTTTTCTTTATGTTTTGACAAGAAATTTGAGTATACACCAAATTGATTTGAGGTAGAGAGTCCCAGCACCCTTTATTGCATCTCCCGCAAAGAAGAGTTCCAACTTGTGTGGCACATTTAGGACTTGAATTGCTTAATCATTTATTAAAGGAAATACTTCTATATGAATGAAATATATAAATATAATGAAAATATTTCTTATTATATCACTTTATCTTTAACCTATCTCCATCACAGAGACTTGAGTCCTGAAACACATGATTATAAGGCAGGAAGCTTATTGCACAATGCTATTTTTATGTGAATGATTTTCTCTTGCAATCCCCTAGCAAGGCCTGCAACCTGCAATTGTCTTTCTATGAATATAAAGGAAACGGTATTAATTTATCTGAAAAATAAATTTTGAGTTTAGGGATTGGACTATCTACCTCAACACTTATCTATTGAATTTAGGGATTGGACTCTGTACCTAAACACTTATCTATTGAATTAAAGGATTGGACTCTCTACTTTAACACTTATCTTTTGAATTTAGGGATTGGACTCCCTACTTTAACACTTATCTATTGAATTTAGGGTTTTGACTCTCTACTTTAACACTTATCTTTTGAATTTAGGGTTTGGACTGTCTACTTTAACACTTATCTATTGAATTTAGGGATTGGACTCCCTACTTTAACACTTATCTTTTGAATTTAGGGTTTGGATTCTCTACTGTAACACTTATCTATAGAATTTAGGGATCGGACTATCTACCTAAACCACTTTAACTATTTTGTAAGCTACAATGACTCTGTCAAGTTCTGTATTGAAAGGTTTGCAAACTCCTTTAGTATCAGTCACTACACATGAGCACACAGCTGCTAATTTAGATTTTCAGTTGCCTGATATGTATATCCTTACGTATTCAGTGACTGAAAGTCTAACAAAACCAATAATATTATTAGTTGCGTGCCCCTGTGGTCAATAAGTAAACCTATTATTGACATCCTCAGCTGTCATTGTGAACGGTTATACCTAAATTAAAGTTGTTTAGAAAATGTAAAAAATAAATAATGTAGAGTAGTGTCCCCTGCCTTATTTATAAATTGACTTAATATTTTAAGTTTTGAATTGAGTGAAATTTATTTCTGGAAATGGAGCAAAAGAATGAAAAGTGAACTTCTAGCATTCAAAGTTAACTGTGAAAGAATGAGAAGTGAACTTCTAGCGTTCAAAGTTAACTGTGAAAGAATGAGAAGTGAACTTCTAGCGTTCAAAGTTAACTGGAAAACTATTCTTGTCATACCTTTTCTTCAATGGAATGGTCAGAATAGTAAATATTCTTAATGGTTCAACCATTAATAAAATAAAAAGGTGTTTAGCCAAGGGTTTTATTGCATTTCATCACATCATAAACAAACACAAATTGATAAAATCAATTTGGATTGAATACAAATGACTTTGTCAAGACATCAAGAACTCATTCCATAATTCTCTTTAATTTGCAACCAGAGTTGTTGATGTTTTCCTAACAAAATTTACCAGTATCTAAGTTGCTATATTGAAGTGTTGCTAATGAAGTCAAATTATTTTACCATAATTTTGTTTTTATGAAGAGCGGTGTACATGTGTCGATATGCTGATTGTTGTATGTACGTTTTATGGAAATGTGTTCGGGGTGTGATTATATTGTAACTTGTCTATACATTGTATCTCTATAATGATACAGCTTGTGATCAACACAAGAGATGGTGTGTATGTTTATGAAATGCAAATTTTTAATTTTTAAGAATCTCTTGATCAACTTCACATATGATATGTTGTATACTGCATTTTGTATGTGTAATTTGTCCCATCACAGCAGAAGGCAAGCTATTATCACGGATTGAAACCAGATCTAAAGGCCATTCAGGTTTGTCTCAAATAAATTACAACTTTGAACAGATATTTTTCTTGAGATACTGGCTTGATATTCTTAATAAAAAATTAAAAAAGAGACAAATTTGATTTGATGAAGACTGCTCACATGTAAAGTAAGGAATGAAAACAGATTTGGTTTAAGAAGCATGTCATTATGATGTATACAATTATATAGTGACAAACAAGACTGCTTATAATTATCAAGAAAAATAGATAATAAGCTGGGCTCAGAGCAATCTTGATCACTGATGATTGGTTTAACATTACGCAAAGGTAAATATTATAATACCTTCATTGACTTCATTCATAAATCCTAGGTCAAGGCCAAATACACCATTACGTTTTATGGAAATTTCGTCAAAACAATGAGTCAATGTTGCTGAAGCGGGGACATTCATGTCTTACATATATGCTTTTTTTCTAATTTTGTTTATAACTTCTGTATGTGAGTAATTTAATATATTGCCAATCGCTTTATAATGACAAAACATTGCAAGCCTTGTGATGGCATCAAATTCCTATTCAAATTCCTAACGGTGCATATAATGCATACTGGCCCCAGTTTGGTACCATTCTTTAAGGATCCCAGTACCCCTGTCAAAATCTTTAAATTTGTGTTGGAAACTTTTCTGTTGCATGCTTATAGCTTTGAATAATCATTTCTGAAAAGAAAATCATGCCTCACAGAACTTAAAGAAAACCCAAAGATTAACAAAAAAGATCAGCAACAGGGTTTTCAGTGCGAAAAATGGAACGGGTCTGACTAGAATTCAATTGCTGGTCCTTTGCTCATTAATTATCGCGTCACTAAAACCCTACTTAGCTACCTGGTTAGCGGTAGTATCCTGGCCAATTTACGCTACAGCTATATCCAGAAGGAAAGGAAGGAGAGATTACTGTATCCATAAAAAAATACATCCATTTGGTGTTTTCTAGCATTTTGTTCTTAGTGGGAAAGGGATCTTTAAGTAAAGGGAATGTTGATACAATGTTAGATTGTTGAAAGGTTGAATATCCTTTTCATACATTGTCGATGAGATGTAGGCCAAGTTGTATACCTTGTTGTACACTATTTGTTCGATTATTCTAGGTTGAATACCTTGTTATACATTGTGATATCATATTCTGCTGCCTAAAACTATGCAACCTTTTTAAATATGCTGTGGTTAGATACGCTTTGGTTGGATGTTTTGAAAGAACTGTTAATTGTAAATTTTGGAAAATCGTTATTAATATTGGGAATGTTTTTATACTTTGTATTGTCCTGTGCCTATTAATTACAGAATTTGAGGGTTGGTAATTATTTAACATTGTTGTTTGAAATGTATGCTGTATACTGTAGAAATGAGATACCAAGATTTTAGTCTTTCAGCCAATTGGTGTTTTAACCCAGATAATTTTGCAGCCAGAACCATTTCCTTTGGGTACCATTTGCAAATGTTATTATTTAAAATCTCCCAATATAATAATATAAAGATGTGATGTCAATAAAACTAGTTAATGCTTTTTTTTTATATAAAAACTTACATCTACATAAAAACGTTCTTCAGATAAAGTGATTGTATTGCCTTAGATTTTTTAGCTCACCTGGCAAGAAGTGCTTGTGACCTAATGGTGAATGGTGAGACGTCAGCTGCTTGCTTGTCAGTCAACTGTTTTCTTGGAAGAACTTATTCTTGAAACTAAAAACATGATATCTGACTAGAAGGTACCTTTGATGGAGGGCTTCAATATTTCATCTAATAAACGACCTTGACTTTAATTCAATATCACAGGGATCAAATATGTAAAAACACTTCAACATCTTTTGAATAACCGTGAGGCCTACAGTCATGTTTGGTCAGTAGATTGTTGACAAGCGTTAAGTATATGAAAAATACAAAAGTATTGAAACTACTTTTTCTGTTCACCAAGAGGCCTTGGGTGATGATATTATGCCGATAGCATGCTTGATTGCAGTACTGCTTTCAATGAGACTTATCTTCATAACTGCTTAAATAACCAGGTGGGCGTCAGGACATCTTATTCGATGAGCACTTCAGCTGAATAATTCAACTATCCCTGATAATATTACTCATAAAAATGCTTCAGGTTATTTGCTTACCTAGCTGGATTATGTTTGAATATCTCTTATAAAATTTGAGCCATGCGACCTTGATTCATTTGAAACAACTTCCTTCGTAGCCAGTAATCCTAGCTTGATACTGGCAAAATATCAATCCCCTGGGCAAAAAAAGTTGTTTAAGAAAATTTAAACATATTTGACCTCAGTGACCTTGAACCTCAGTTTGCCCAAGCGAGAAAGGTTATGGGTAAAGGTTCTGTCCCATGGACTTGACCAACCAAAGTTCAAAAGTGTCCTTACATTTCCTGCTTTCTGCTTAGACGCTCAGCTTTAAATGGATAGTCGCCAGGTACTGGCCGTAGGTCTATGGTTTCTCTCGGGGAACTTGGGTTTTCCTCCACCACCAAAACCTGGCAGGTCCTTAATTGACCTCAGCTGTTAATAGGATGTGAAACACAAACTAAACCACAGATAGCGTCATTGGCTGGGAAATCCATTATCCATTTTTGTCCAAAAGAAATACTGTGCTAGGTGATTCGCAAAATTTTAGTGAGTTTACCAGAAACATCAATAAGTTTGGATTGGTTTTATTAGCTCACCTGGCCCAAAGGGCCAAGTGAGCTTATGGCATGGTGCGTCGTCCGTCAGGCGTCCGTCCGGCGTCAACTTTTTACTTTAAACAACCTCTTCTCAATAACCAAGAGGCCCAGGCTGATGATATTTGGCATGTAGCATGCTGGGATGAAGAGCTACCAAGTTTGTTCAAATGAATGACATTGACCCACTTCCAAGGTCACAGGGGTCAACTGTCTTAAAATCTTCGAACAATTTCTTCTCAGTAACCAAAAGGCCCAGGGTACTGATATTGGGCCTGTAGCATGCTGGGATAAAGGGCTACCAAGTTTGTTCAAATGAATGACCTTGAATCTTCAAACGACTTCTCAATAACCAAAAGGCCCAGGGTACCGATATTGGGCCTGTAGCATGCTGGGATGAAGGATTGCCAAGTTTGTTCAAATGAATGACCTTGACCAACTTTCAAGGTCACAGGAGTCAAATGTCTTAAAATCTTCAAACCACTTCTTCTCAATAACTAAACGGCACAGGATACTGAAATTGGACCTGTAGCATGCTGGGATGAAGGGCTACCAAGTTTGCTCAAATAAATGTTCTTGACCCACTTGTTCAACATTCAAGGTCACAGGCGCCATATGTTTAAATCTTTTAATAGGTTCTTATGATTCAAACACTGATTTTCTGCCTGTTGCTGTAATCCACTTATAAGATTAAAAGTGTGAAATTAATACCAGGTGAGCGATGCAGGCCCATTGGGCCTCTTGTTTTGTTTAACAGCTAAGGTAATTTAAGGACCTGTCTCCATGTGTGTGGTGTAAGTATGCATGTGTGCCAGAAACAGCATATCTGATATGCCGACTTCATAGTGCTTTCTCACTGAAATACCATGCCGAAGGCATCCAGCACAGCATTCCGCCCGGTGACATTATACTGACAACGGGTGAAATTGTAGTTGCCATTCCCCTAAATGATGAACGCTAAGCAGAGATAAAGAACTACCATTTTTAAGAGCTTTGGTATGTCCCGGCCTGTGGACAGAACCCATTGCCGCCTTCCTCACCTGGGTGAACGTTCAAAATTAAAGCCAAAAGTGAGGTTTTGCCATAAAAAGATTCCAAATATTGCTATGGTTGCTGTAGAATTATTTTTGGTCGTTTGTGTCCCCAAAAAGAGGGCACAAAAACAAATCTCCAATGCTGCAGGGGGTTCCACATTATTCGCCCTACGGTACATGTGGTGAGCTACGCATGTACCACAAACATCATGTCGGTGGTCAAGCTAAACTACGTGATTGACCACCTCAGACAACATATGAGTGGTCAGCACAAACATCATATCGGTGGTCAGCACAAACATCATATGAGTGATCAGTGGAAACATCATTGTAAAGGGCCATTACTCCGTAAAAATGGTCAGATTGAACAAATAATACCTGGATGCACAATATCATATGGTTAGTTATCATATCTGAAAACTTTAATTTAAATTGGTACAGTACTTTTTGAGAAGTGTCCAGGCAAGCGTTTTTCAAATAAGGGCAATAACTCCCTCAAAAAGGGTGAGAATGAAAATATAATACCTGGGTACGAGGGGTATATTAATTGATAAAGATTTGAATAAGAAATGTTAAAAAAATAACTACGAACAGATTCCTATGTAGCCTATTTATCAGGTTTTGTCCGTCTTCTGTTCACGACATGGCTCCAAGTGCAGTTCATGATTAAACGCATGCTACAAACCACAAGGACATATGTTTACAGTACAACCTTCCCATATCATACAGCGATTTACGTTCCGATTCCATTATCTTACTAGCAACACCTGCTCAGGAATTACAAAACCATTATAAATCACATAGCTTTATCTAAACAAATAGAGCAGGAATTATATATGATAGTTTCAGTTGGGTTTTTTTAAATCTCAATTAGTTGGGGTTAGATTCACTACCTCACATAACTTATCACAACAAAGGTTTTATCACAACAAAGGTTACCTTTTCGTTCGTTTGACGTCAATTCCTTGAACATACTATATCCACTTTTTATATGCCCTAATGACGTCGTTTGTGTTGATGGACCGTTAAAAATCAAATGATAATAAATCTCACAGCAAAGGATGTTTGTATCGGTAATAAAAATACGTTGAACTCGTAATATTTTCCTATAGTCAGACATTTTGACAGAAAGATGGCCAACACCAGACATCTATCTGTCAAAATGTCTAAGTCTGGTGTCGGGGCCTAAATGTCTTCCACATGATGTACGTTCCTGAGTAGACCACTTCAGTAGAAACTGTACTGCATACGTTATCGCCTTAATCTTTCTACTATAAATATGAAAATTACAATGATGGAAACATCACAGAAGTGTACTTTGGATATTTTGTATGGCTGTTGATAAGAATAATGCTGCTGCAATATCGGTAAAGGTAACCAATATGGAATGTATCATTTTCGTACGCTGGACAGGTGTTATCCTTGTCTCACCGAAGGGTTGGCACGGGGGATTCCCCTATTTATAACAAATGTATGATATCACGTCAACAATGTGTTTAGCCTGTAACGCCAACATCACATTGTGTATGTGATTTGATGAACAGTAAGATCAAAAGAATATTTAACAACTTTAAGGTGAGATTGGGAAACTCAACTCTCGGGGAAACATTCTGAGGTTGTCAAACACTCGGGAAAGCTTCGTTCATTGCAACTTCAGAATCTCTCTCCCTCCTCCCGAGGGACTGAACAATTATATAAATCTTTCACATGGCCCCCTACAAATAAATTCATACAACAAGATATACACAGCATGGAAGCATGCAGTACTATTTTAAAATAATGTCCTTAATAAATGAATAGAAATAAACACATAATAACAATCGAATCAGAAATGTTATTTAGCATGTAATATTCATAATTTATTTAATTATCTTTAATAGGAATTGATCATGTTATCAATATCTATATAACGATTTTGATAGGAACAGCGAGATTTAACTTGCAACATTCCTTGCAAAGAAATTGTTTGAAACACACTTGAAAATAATCTTTTGCGATTGCTATATTAGAAGATTCAAGTATACAAAGGTTATTCACATAACTGTCAAACATCTCGGTCAAGATCACGCGCAGAGAGATAACATAAAAATGGGAACCATGAGTAGTGACACTGCCGACTGATAAGGAACAAAATGGAACTCCCATACTACAGGTAAATGATACAACATATTCTGCCTGGCAATTATTCACGTGGTTTATTCAAAATAATGACATATGTCTTACAATAATGATATATTAATTGCAGGCTGTATAAAATTAGACATTAGATTAATACAATTGATGAATGCTCACAATGTTCATTGGAAAAATACACTATATCTATGAATAATGGTTTCACCATATGATCTGTGTGCTGTGAATGGTGTCAGCAGTGCGAATCACGTTTATTATGAAGTCGCAATCGCTTTTTCAAAGTATTTTCAAATATGACAAAGGGTCTTTATAGTTAACACCAGCGCCTTATTCAAATGTGAATTGATTTGTCAAAAATAAAAAATGATTGGGGCACATTCTTTTTCATTACATGTTGTCTCAATGTATACAGATCAAAAAATAAAACCTGTTACCATACTGCCATACATGTGCTGTGTTTTGGATATGGATCGATGGGGACGGGAGATAGGGATAGTTGCCAAAGGTGTATTTTATACTCCTTCAAATTCCAGTTATGGAAATAAAGCTGTCATCTTTGACAATCTTTTTAAATGCTATTATTTTCCCTCATTTTTGTATAATTTACGGGACTTCTTTCGATTACTCTTTCTTTGCTGAATTTGGTACACGGTAAAGAAACAAAGAATCAATATGATCATCTCATCTTTTCTATTTGCATAATTTTATATACTTCTATAAAATAACGTTTAAAACTTATGTTAACGACTTGTTAAGATGTTAAGATAATCATGCCCTGAGCTGGAAAACTGGACGTGATTATTCAACATCTTAAATCACTGTTTCTTCTAAATAGATATTTTTCTTATAACTCATAAAATATCAAACGGAAATTGATCATATGTATTCGTGATTTCTTTCGTACAAAATAGAATAAGGATCACCGTTACACTACTAAAAACTGTTAATACATGTATTCATTGACACATTTGTTTCCAGCATTTCTATAGCTTTCATAATGTTTGTTTTAAATGAGGATACAATAGAAAAACGTTTTGTTGTTCTTTATGTAAAGATGCATCGGGGCCATCCTGGCTTTGGACCCTAGACCTCTGATATTCATATTTTCGATCTAAACAAATGAACTACGGGGTCAACAAGTGTACCCTATCTCGCTTCAGTCATACACTGTATCCTAAACGAAATGAAGGGTAGATTATTGAATTAACAAAAAAACCTTAAGATCTCTACTTCTTTACTGGGAAAGGGATCCTTATTATTATTTGATGTATTACACATACTCACATTCAATTGAATTCACAGTATGTTGGTCCTGATCTACGCTGGTCTGTCAGCAATTGTGATTGGTCAAACGGAAGCAAATAGAAAGGTTTCTTGCACATTTGAAGGACTAAAAACCTTCATTGCAATTGGTTATCATCTTACTGAACACAACCATTCTGATCCGTCGACACTGCTCGATAAAATGATCAGGGTGATGCTGTTACGAATGAACTGTGAGAAGCGATACAAGGCCATGCTTTTCAGGAAAATGCATGAACATCATGGTGAACACTGGATAAACACCCTCCCAGCAGCATATGACGAGGTAAGAATTTGATGTTCATAATTTTTTTATTCTGAATCTAGATTTAAACAAAGAAAGTAAATATTATTGTACACTTTTCTCTTTTATATGAAAAACTTCATGATATGCTGTGGTTGTTTAAACCTCCCTAATGTGTAAAACTTTGGGAAAATGCACTGCAATTTACTTAACTGTCATCATCATTATTCATGTTATGTCAATGTTCTTGGCATACTTTTACTTCAGCTTTTTGTTCTTACAGTACTTAAACAAATCACATGTCAAGAAATTCGTCACGAAAATAACAAGATCAGATGCAGTTACCGCAACAACGCTTAATGCAATGGCTGCCACGATTTTGAAGGTGGCTATCAATTTTGAATGCTTTGTAAGCCGTACACTCTTCGAACCATCTGAAGATTTCACCAACGATTTCCTCTTAGAAAATAATTATGAGCACACCCTGAAGATGATAAATCAGCACTACGTTCGTCATATGAATAGTGACAAAATGGACAGAATGAGTTACGTTAATCGATTACAGGTATGCTATAATTATTAATAAAATGAAATAGCTGGTATTTGTATATGCATTTGAATATTTGAGACTAGGATTTTAATTCGTTTGACCTATTGTATCATTGTCGAGTTCTTAATGGATGGAATGGCTATATGATAATAGACATTTGTTTTTTGTTTGGTTAAGTTTCACTTACAAAAGTTATCAATAGGTTCTACCTTGTGTTCTATTTCTGAAATAGTGTTTGCTTATGTATTTCTATAAATAATTCTACTATTTGTTTGTTTGTTTGTTTGATTTTGTTTAACGTCCTATTAACAGCTAAGGTCATTTAAGGACGGCCTCCCCTGTGTGCAAGATGTATGCGTGTAGTGTATGTGTGTGTATTTTGGGAGGCTGCGATATGTTCGTGTTTGTCTCCTTGTGATAGCGCGGAACTGATGCCGACTTTATAGTGCTACCTCACTGAAACATACTGCCGAAGACACCCAGCAGGACGCCCCACCCGGTCACATTATACTGACAACGGGCGAACCAGTCGTCCCACTCCTAATTTGCTGAGCGTTAAGCAGGAGTAGAAACTACCATTTTTAAAGACTTTGGTATGTCTCGGCCAGGGGACAGAACCCAAAGCCTTCCTCACAGGGGCGAACGCTCAACAAATGGCCAAAAGTGAGGCATTGTCAAGGGAGACATTAGGAAGAAGAAAGTTATTTAGAAAGGAGAGAAGAGATAAGGTCCCAAATTTAGTCGCCTCTTACGATCATGCAATTGGGGGCAGCAGGTACAATTCTTACGCCCTACCTGCAAGGACATAATAATTCTACTAATAAAATAGTTCATTGAATACATTCTGAAGCATATCTCTAACGGTACAAGTTGTATGCTTTATTATAAAATGATAGGTGGAGCTCTTGATGCATAAAATGTCCCATCAACATGAAATTAAGCTAAGATGTGAACTGTTTATCGTATTCACAGTGCCTGAACGTCAAAACGGCATTAGGGGATATACAAAGAGAACTGAAATCCCATGGTCACGATCAACATATTCACCATAGTGCTGGTCATAACCAAGGCAACGTTCAACCTCATCACATTGACCTCCATGGCAAAGAGAACGACCATGTACGGGACGTGGCGCCAGTACTCATACATCCAGATGATAAAGGAAACCATTTAAACAAGTTCAAAAGAAGCTACAATGTGATACATAATGAAGAATATGCTGCTTCCAGGAATAAAACAGACACAAGTTTTACAAAGAGTATTCAGGATCCTGATATGAATTCAAATATAGAAAGCGTAGTGTTTAAACCAGTAATCACACATTATACGAACGTGAAAAATAGTGAAAACGATGGAAGTCACCAGTATAACGCAGGCAAAAATAAGCAATTAAGAGCAGCGCATCACGTTCATAACGCCAGCAACACAAACATCAACACTGTAAAGGAATACGATACCACGGATTTTCATAATAACGATACACATGACGACAGGAAATATAGTCATTATCAAGGAACTAGAGGTAGCATGCACAACAACAGTAATAGTAATAAAGACACCGTAAAACACAAACACGTCCATCACGAACGTCATCCAACGCACAGCAGACAACACACACATACACAACCCTCAGATGCACAAACTATTCAGGCAACAGCTGCGCATGTGACTGTTGGACATAATCAGGCTCATAATCACAATCAGCAATCTAATCAAGCCGGACGACCGCCTAATCAACAGCAAATGTTGTCAACACACAAAACCCTAACGCCACGATCAACATCATATGAAAGATCAACGCCAACTCAAAAATCAACTCCAGCTCCACAAGCAACACTAAACCAACAACCACCACCGGATCACCCAATGCGACCAGAGGAACGACCACCATCGGAAAACCACATAAACTGTTTGAGTACAGAGAACAGGTGGTCAAAACCAAGACATCTTCATCCACTACAGAGAGAACATATTGACAGTTTTTACGCAAATATAGCACTTGCAATGATCAAAGGTAACATTTTATTTTCATTTTCAAACCTATTCTGGAAGACCCTTCTTTATTTACTGGTATTTTTCTCTAAACAATATTTCAAAACGACCATTGTTCTTAATATATAGTGTGTTATATTCAATATTGTAGTTTTGGTAACTTACATTTTGTTTGGGTGTTTCTGTTCCGATAATATTGGTGATTTTTGAAATATTTTAATTCGTTTCATTCGCTTTATTGTATAACGATCTTGACATTGATTTCTATTTTTATCGTTTCGTAATTGTTTTGCTTTCTATTATTTCTCTCTTGGACAAATTTAACCTCGCAACTGTCAACAAGTTCGGCGCGTTTAATTTGTCAAATAGCCCTTTTGTTTAATTTCTTTGTACATTCAGTGGTAATTTTTTGTTTCAGGTTATAAACTCCAAGATAACGATTTACCTTGTCCTGGAGCCTTTCTTCATGATATGTTCGATAAATATGGAGAGAAAGGTCTGCTGAACTCAGCTGGTAAGGGCACTACAAAATTAAATACTGTAATTAATTATGTTTTGCAATTATGACATTCGGAATTTTAAAACTTTGTAGACAAAAACAATAACAATTATTAGGACGCATTCGTCCATTACTTGTGCGACACAAAATAACACGGCAAACTATTATTCACATTTAATGAAAAGGGCATAACTGTATTACACATTTATCTACAGGATTAAAAAGAATTATGGCTGTTAAAAAGCCATTGTCAGGTCATTTGGAGCATGCGCATAACAGTCAAAAACACGATCACCATGAGAACGTAGTGCACGCGCATAAGCACGATTCTCAAATCAACACAACATGCGAGGTTAAGAGGAGACGAATTACAGAAGGCTACAAACAATTTGTGAACGTGGAAGCAATAGCTCCAAAAGTCATGGTAATATTTCACATTTTATGATAATCAAAATCAACTGCTTTTGAACTTCACCGGTCTGAATGCTCAGCACACAATATATAATATAGGTCAACCAACAAAAATAAACAAAACATCTGATGCATAGTTAGCACGTATTTACTTTTGAATTTATATATCCATCATAGTACAATCATCAATCGTGACAGTTAAAACTATCATCATATGGACTGATTGGTATTTAGCAAAACAAATAGTTTGGTTTTATAGTGTTAAATGTCTTATCAACAGCTGAGGTCATTTAAGGACGTGTCCTGCGTGCAATGTATATATGCGTGTATGATTGTATGTGTGCTGGATGCAGGGTATGTTGGTTTAATTGCCTCCTTGTGCTGACTTTATAGTGCTATCTCACTAAAATACCATGCTGAAGACATCCAGCATAGCATTCCGCCCTGTCACATCATAGTGACAACGGGTGAACCAGTTGTTGCCATTACCCTAAATGCTGAACGCTAATAATGGAATAACTACAATTTTTAAAGACTTTCCTATGTCCTGGCATGGGGTCAGAACCCACTGCCTTCCTCACCTGGGCGATCGTTTAACATTAAAGCCGAAAGTGAGGTATTGTAACGCAAGTCGCTAGGAAGCACAAAACAATCAGAAACATAGATAAATATAAAGATATATTTCAATGGGTGCAGCAGATTCATTTTTGTCGTTTTTTTGTGTACCCAAGAACAGGGTACGAACGCAAAACCCCAATTATGCAGGGGTTTTCCACATCGCTTCTTACGTCCATGCGGTGGGTAACAGCAGGTGTAATATTTTCTCAATCCCCGACCTGCAGGGGTGTAAAAGAAAACAAATCCGTCCTAAAAAGAGCTACTGTATAACATGAAACGTTCGCTGTGTATAAACTAATCATACGTGGTTTCCATGGATGCTGCAGAACTTCGAAATTAAATACAACACATTTAGTTTAAATAGATGACTACCGTTTGTTTTTTATTTTGTAGCCGTGCAAGTTTATACCACGAAACGGCATAAAACCTCAACAGATATTTCGTGTTATGCAGCATCGCAACAATGACATCATACGGTACTTTGTTACAGCTGTAGGCGACTCAGTGCGTACGTAGGCATGATCGTACCTACCGGAAAGATTGTAATGGATACCAATTTGTCTGGGATCGCTTTTTTAATTTTTATTATACCGATCAGTAATGAAGACAACCATGTACCTATCATCTGGGCTCTGTTCCTATGCTAAAATGGTAGTTGGTAGTCCCTGCTTAGCGTTCGGCAATTAGGGATATGGCAGTAACTGGCTCACCCGTTGTCAGTATGCTATGATATGACATCGTGGAATGTTATACTAGGTGCTTCGGAATGGTGTTTCAGTGAGATAGTACTATAAAATGGTCATCACAAGGAGGCAATTACACCAATTTACCCTGCTTCAAGCATACACACATGTACGTATACATTTCAGACATCAAGGCATATTCTTGAATTATCTCAGCTGTTGATATGACGTTTAAGTTTATAAAACCAATCATTTAGTCTAACCTGTTTTAGGTATTTCCCTGTATTACAGAATATGTCTTTTCAAGAAACTGCCATGCATGCTGTTAGAAATATTAAGAATCTTGCGTTTTGATGCTTAAATAAATCATAATGTTTAAATGAAATAAAACCCTTTATTCTACAGCCATGCTTGAGCAAGGACGATCTGAAAACCATGTTCCACGTGAAAGGTGGCATAACCATGACGACATTTCTTGATATGTGTCCAGTCATACTTCAACAGCTGGTCAGTGACGCATGCGCGAATAAGTCTACAATTGTACAACAAACAACACCCCTTGAAAGTAGGTCAATGAAATAAACAAACCGACGCTAGTGACCTTAAACCACAACAGCACCACGCTTACAATTGTTGAACATTAATATAAACAACTATTCAAGGAATATCAGATACATGAACAATTGCATCGACGTGATTTACAAAATTAAATAGATTATAATTACCTTGGACAATCGCCATCGGAAATATACCAAAGGCATTATAATCTCGATAACTTGACCATTTTTTGTATTATTCTGTTAATTTTCCTTGTTTTACAGAGAAATTATTATATGCATCGTTTTCAGCGGCAAACATAATTATGAAAAAAATACTCAATATCACTCTATGACACTTCAGTTAGTACTAGATAAACATACACTAATTAATATCATTGTGACATTGTAGTGTAACATTGTTTACTTGTCTCTTTAGAATACGGATTGAGTACACTCTGTGTGTTCATCATTAGCCTGTGCTCCTTCGCCGGAGCCGTGTTCGTCAAGTGTGCTCACAGTGTTAACCGGGTCTACGTCATGGCTGGTCTCTTAGCTCTCTCTGTTGGCTGTCTTCTTGGTGATGCAATTATCCATCTCTTACCACATGTGAGTGACACATAACTGTATACGCACAGTCAAACTTTCGCCCTTCGCCGTTAACATCCATATTCGCATAGTTTTAATTTCGCCATCCACATATACTTCCTTTTATATTATGTTGTTTGCTAATATTCGCTGTTATGATAAATTCGCCCTCTTTTCGGAAAATTAAACTGCACGGAAAATACAGTATCTGATGACTTTAAACATATGACCCTACGTAGTGGAGTTATTGTGATTGACAAAATACTAAAGAAATCCTTTGTTTTTTGTTAAATTGAAAAATGAATTTGAGATGATTTGTTAGATGTAAATAATTTTTTTACGTATGACATTTCTACAAATGGAAACAATGAAATTATTATTAAGCTAAACGTGTCGTTTTCTCTTAATTTATACAAAGAACTATTACATGTTAATTTCACAATTGTCCCAATATAACTATTTCTTCCATATCTCAATTTTTGTGATGAGGTAAAGATTTTTCTGGCGAATTAAAATGTTTGACTCTTCGGTATCCTTCTTTAGGTATTTTATCTGTTACGAAACATTGTGTAGGTATTTTTATTGATGACACTTTTACCTTTTAACTTTTAGTGCCTCCCCGTTTACTGATGTTATGTTGCGTTTTGTGCATTCTTGCCACGTCATGTAATAATAAAGAAATTAATATTTTAAAAACATTTTATTACTTTTTCGCTTCTATGTGATAGGTTCTTGCTCAAGGTCACCATGGAGACCACGACGACTCAAACACTGTGTACAAGATGTGCGGAGCATTGATAAGCGTGTACAGTTTCTTCCTTATGGAACTCTTCTTTCGACATTCTCACAACCATAAAAACGATGCTGACATGGACATTGAGGTATGATATTTAAGTTGCTGCGTATCAATTCTATCTTTTTTCATAAATATGGTTTGTTTTGCATGTATGATATCCTGGACCATCCCATATCCGTCCGCCACACGCCATATCTACCCAGCACGCGCTATATCCGTTCGACTTCCAGTTCATCACTTTTCAGAAAAAACACATCTCAAACTTCATGTGTACACAGGAAATAATCACCTGTATTTGCGATTTTGTTAATTGTGTTTTACGGTAGAATGTGATTATACTTAAGCTAATGAAATATATTTCCTATGTATGTTTTGTTTGTTATTGCTAATAATATTGGTGTTATAGATATATGATAAAGAGGTTAAACATCTATAATACATTTGACTATTAGCAACATTATATAGAGAATAATACATGCCTTTTTCCATATCAAACCCAGTATCAACCCGAGACTGCAACATCAGCCCAAGGGCCGAAGGCCTGAGGGCTGATATTGGTCGAGGGTTGATACTTGGTGTGATATGGAAAAAGGCGTGTTTTATTCTGTTTATTACATACTTACTAATAAAAACTACTATCTTATGATCTGTTTTTCTTTTTGAAATATTGAAAAACTTTTTTGTTTGTTTGTTTGTTTGATTTTGTTTAACGTCCTATTAACAGCTAAGGTCATTTAAGAACGGCCTCCCCTGTGTGCAAGATGCATGCGTGTAGTGTATGTGTGTGTATTTTGGGAGGCTGCGATATGTTCGTGTTTGTCTTCTTGTAATAGCGCGGAACTGATGCCGACTTTATAGTGCTACCTCACTGAAACATACTGCCGAAGACACCCAGCAGGACGCCCCACCCGGTCACATTATACTGACAACGGGCGAACCAGTCGTCCCACTCCTAATTTGCTGAGCGTTAAGCAGGAGTAGAAACTACCATTTTTAAAGACTTTGGTATGTCTCGGCCAGGGGACAGAACCCAAAGCCTTCCTCACAGGGGCGAACGCTCAACAAATGGCCAAAAGTGAGGCATTGTCAAGGGAGACATTAGGAAGAAGAAAGTTATTTAGAAAGGAGAGAAGAGATAAGGTCCCAAATTTAGTCGCCTCTTACGATCATGCAATTGGGGGCAGCAGGTACAATTCTTACGCCCTACCTGCAGGGCATTATTGAAAAACGAAAAATAATTCCAAAAGGGGTGTGATATGGGTTTTGCGGGCTGATACGGGTTTTGGGGTGTGATACGGCGGGGGCTGATACGGGTTTTGGGGTGTGATACGGCGAGGGCTGATATGGGTTAGAGCAAATGTGTCGTATCGCATATACAAAAAACCCGTATTTATTAGTAAGTATGTAATAAATATTATTAGAGGCGCGCGTACGTAATCTAGCCACAAATAATAATGCTTCCTAATGGTACAGTCTTTTTTGTCAAACATGAGTGACCCAATAATTTGTCCTTTTTTGTTTAATTAGTTACTTAAGATAGGACGAAGCTGGAGATGTTAAAGAGGCTTTTCTATATTCCTAACATCGTTTCCCCTCAACTTTGTGCCTGCTACTCCATACAATACAAATTATTTTATCTTTGTCACATTTAATGATAGATATCTAGAGATACACAGTCTTGTACTTCAACAACGTCTGCAGTCAGTGACATTCAGCTGATAGACATGAGAAAGAACAACCTAAGGACGCCGAAGACAGAGGTGACTGTTTTTTTCTTATTTGTTCTCGTATAATACTTCCCCTGCAGATTTATGAATCCGGGACAATTAACTTCACTAATCTAACCCTCTGACTCTTCTTAAGGGACGACAACTATGGAACTCACGTAACAAAAGTGTCTTTAATGTCCTTAACTAAGTCAAGTTTGAAATACTAAACACTGCCGCCATTGTAACATATACGTCCTCTTTTCACTTTCTTTTTCTTCTTCAATAGGGGCCGCGGTGGCCGGGTAGTTAAAGGATTTTCGCCACGATTTTCCATAATTTCATATTTTACGGTCATTTGATGCAATAATACGTGTAGTGACTGAAACCCCGTCTCTCTCGGTACTCAGATGATAGACAGGCCAGATGACGCCTCATTTATATCAGCCTAGTGAATATTCATATTTTGAACTCGGTACGAGGTCACATGAGCTTTGACGTCACAGTGGCACGACTTATACAATACTCAATACGTGTACCCATTCTAACACGCTGCCTTTACATTTTTATATATTATCTGCAAAACTGTGTAAGTTTTGTGACAATAGTCATTTTGTGTAATAGTGACAAAGAGTCTGAACATATTTCATTATTTTCTGTTTCATCTCAAGCCAGACCGACGGCAGTAGCTTAAGCTGTAAAAATAGATGCACTATTTGGTAATCGGCAGGAAAAAGATACGTTGCCAACAACACCTGCTGCTGTAACTTTTTCTTCGAATTTAGAGCCGCCCGTATATAAAAGTTTATGTGATGTAAATCCAGAGATGAACTCAGAAAAAGGGCTTTGTATTGAACCGGGAGAGTGCGAAATTTTTCATCATTGTGTAATTCTAAACTTACCTATGGCAGTCGAAATGTCCATGATGGAATATCTGGAATTATAGCAGTATTGATAGATGAGAGGTCTAAATCGGAGTGTCCAAGTAGTGTTTTGAAGTCGTATCCAAAAGACAGGATCAATTCCTCATTTCGTTCGAAAAGTTGTGTATATTTTGGATAGAATACTGCCTGAAAAGCTGGGGTTACCGGATTTCATTTCAACTCGTATGCAAACTGTAGAGAAAGTTTGTGCTTTGTTAATATAGTGATATGGTTCATCAGCTTCAACACAGAGGCTTGCGGCTGGTGATGTACCAAAAGCACATAAAACCAGTCGCAGCCCCTAATGGTTAACTAGATCGAGCATCTGCAAGAACGATTTGCAAGTTGATCCAAATACAATGGAACAATAATAAAGTTTTGGTCGAATTAGCGAACAATATAGCCTCATCAGGACGTCCGCGTCAGCATACCGATCTGGTTGGGATAATATCTTTTCAATATTTAAAATGGGGTAAAAAAGTCCAAGAATTTTTGTTCACTGACTCTATGTTTAGATGCATGTTTAGTGTCGTGCATAGCCATTTATTCATTTAGCATGTATAGGTCATGAAATATCTATAATGTACCTCTGACATTGACAATATAAAGCTGGCATGATTATAATTTCTGGGGGAAATAGCTAAAACAGTATTTAGTATAAGGCACAGTCGCTAAGTATAAATTTAACAGCCAAAAAACACTAATTACAATTTCTGTGGAAATAGGAAAAAATATATAGTCAGGCATATGTCTGGGTTTGCATGACAACAACTTCAAAACCAGTTATAATGAATTATCAATGACATCGAAGCAAATTGAATTTTATGATTTTATAATTAAATTAAATGAAATCTGTTTCAGAACAAAACCCGTGTCTGGCAGAAGGTGTCAACGAACAGTGCAGATGCTCAACCGGAAGAGGAAACAAAACAGCAAAGTACTATCATTTTTGCTGCTTATATTCGATTACAAATAAATGGTGTACACAGTTAAGTATCAAAGGAAGCTGTTAAAAACGCAGTGCCGATGGCAATACTTTACGATTCCTTTGGAACTAATCAGTGTTACTAACGTCAAACAAATGTAGAATCCATGTCAAAAGTGTTCCGAAACGTATGTAGGAATGCCCTATAAGCCTATAAAACCCTGTAACACGTTACAAATTTATGGTTTTTCGCTACAACAGTTAATTTTGTTTCAAAAAAAGTTTTCATTGCAAACCATGCTTTTTGTATATTTTCCTGTTTCTTAAATTCAACGTCATAATAACCATATTTATATGTTGTATCCTAAAATTATTGTATTTCGAGAAATACTTGCATCTCAATTATCACCGGGAACTAGAAGAGGAGACGCCACACTCTCCTCAGCATTATATACCTTTACGTTTATCAGGTGGTCACATCACTTCAGAACTGTATCTTAGATGTGACTGCTCTGATTCGTAACATTTCTTTTCCTCCATTGCTTATCAGTCACCTGCTGTACATAACGTTGCCTTAGTTACTAAATTTCCTATTTTTAGGTACAATAACGGTGTGTGTTACGTTCATTTTTCATAAAAGATACAAGTTGGTAGAATCTGCTGTTGGATTTCTTTGTCAACAAGATTTGCCGTAACTTTGAAAGCAACAGTAATGTCTTTAAAGCAGTTGCACGTTTCATAATATACACACTTTGCTAATTAACTTTAAAGTTACCGGAACTAATCTAAATATTTGAAATTCATAAAATAAAGTTTTTTTATGCACTTCCTCCTCGGTATCAAGGGTGGTTAAACCTTTTTGGATTTCCAATTTTATCATCCAATTGGCTTAACTAGCATCACCGATGAGTCCCAGGAAGACGAAATAGCTGTTATTTTGACATTCTGTATCTGTGACTAAATTTTAAAGGTGTAATGTCCTGTGTGTGCGTTACGTTAATTCCTTAAATGAGTGCATGCTTATAGGTTCTGGTTCCTTGAAATGGATGGTTCTGATTGGCGAAATGGTGCACAATTTTGCAGACGGCATGGCTATAGGCGCATCGTTCGCAGAGAGTTTGACAGAAGGTCTGTCGACATCTCTCGCCGTTTTTTGTCATGAGCTTCCTCATGAACTAGGTAAGAGTGTTTGTATTAAATACTTACCCGGTGTATAATGATTCTGCTAATTAGAGACTATTACGATCATATTGCAATCTAAACGGGAACGAAGCAGCATGGTTGTCTTTCAGTTTTGACATCATAATTAGAACTGATTAATTACTGTGGAGCCTTTTCTTTGGCCAGCTCAAAAGCAATTTTCCTTTTTGTTTGTTTTTGATTTTCATATACAACAATTATGAAACAAGGTATTATAACGTATATATATCACTCTTGTTGGTCCGGGTATTAGCGCGCCAACATGCTTACATGTTTTGTTTTTATTTTGTACCTTTTTAATTTATGCAAGTCCACAAATATTTCATCTTCATAGAGTTAACTTTCAGATGCGACGATTGTCTTCATCAACTAAAATCATAATTATTTCATTTGTTTGCTTAATATGCGCATATAATGTATGTCCTCCTTGAGATTATTATTTGCTCAAACAATACAATTTATTGTCATACTGCAAAGAAAGATGTCGCACGGTGATTGGTCGAATTGCCAAGGTACCTGAAGCTATGTTAGTATCCTTGCCAGGGTACATAAGAGCATGCGCGCCTGTTGTAAGGGAGATAACTCGAAGATTCGAATCAAACGTTCGTCTGTTAATGTCAACAATCAACAATATGGAGAAACGTTTTTCAAAAATCAATCGTAACGAGTTGTTAAGGAACTGAGTTGTTGTTTAATGTTGTTTCAAAACCATATTGTTGACTTATTACAATTTAAAAATTTATTAAATTGTTGGAATAATACAAAAAAAAAATCTGTTTTCCCGTACTACCTCCCTACACAGTATCTGTTTTCAATAGCTTTGCAGTATGACAAATTCGTTATACAGGTCTTTGGCAGGGTACATGGTCTCATGTTCGCTGTCAGGACCTTATGTACCCTTTGCCTTCAGCTCAGGGTACATAAGGGCCTGACAGCGAACATGAGACCATGTACCTTGCCAAAGACCTGTATAACTAATATTGTAAAAGTAAAAATGTTCATAACTGTGATACTGTTCATCCAGGAGACTTCGCAGTTCTATTATCTACTGGGATGTCAGTCAAGAAAGCCCTTTTACTTAACTTTGCCTCAAGTCTGACAGCGTTCATTGGCCTGTACATAGGCGTCGCCATAGGCTCGAATGACGAGGCTCGCCTATGGATACTCTCTTTTGGGGCTGGCATGTTTGTCTATATTGCACTCGCAACATTGGTACGTAATTGCATAAACAAGTAATCCACATAAAATGAACAGTGTAGCACCGATCATTAGTTGTTTTTCTCCTATGTTTCTTATGCAGATTTCTGTTATTAATTTGTTCGTTGTTTGCATTTTTGCAAAAAAATACATATTTTCAAAAGTATCATTCGAAAAATACGTTAGGTTTATTATAAGCAAAAAGAAAGTATTTTTGGGGGTTTTCAAGGGTTAATGTTTGGAATGGGACTTATTCAATAGACATCTATATCGTAACGAAGCACCTTCTTACAAACTTGCCGAGAAGAAAATGCTATTCAAATCGTATTTAGATACTTCAGCGTTGATAGGATACCAAATCATTTGATAAATTAATGTTGTCGAATCACTTATATATTAATCAGCGTCCCATTAAATAATTCATGAAATTGTAGGATGATTTTAAAACATGCCAATATTTTCCATAAATACATGACGGTACCTTTATTTTTCAGATGCCGGAGCTGGTCGGTTATTTCAATTGCTATACAAACATCAAAATGTTTCTGTCACTAAATTTTGGACTTCTTCTTGGATTTCTTTTTATGTTGCTATTAGCAGTCTTTGAGGATGACATAAGACTAATATTGTAATGGGTTTGGTAATGACAGAAACAGGTATTGACATGTCGACATAAGACTTTATTTTGTTTTTAACATGTAACATTTAATCAGCGTCCCATTAAATAATTCATGAAATTGTAGGATGATTTTAAAACATGCCAATATTTTCCATAAATACATGACGGTACCTTTATTTTTCAGATGCCGGAGCTGGTCGGTTATTTCAATTGCTATACAAACATCAAAATGTTTCTGTCACTAAATTTTGGACTTCTTCTTGGATTTCTGTTTATGTTGCTATTAGCAGTCTTTGAGGATGACATAAGACTAATATTGTAATGGGTTTGGTAATGACAGAAACAGGTATTGACATGTCGACATAAGACTTTATTTTGTTTTTAACATGTTACTTCTTCAAACCAATGATTTTCGGTTTCCAATTGGCTGCAAAGCAGTGAATGCTATGCAAAGTTAAGTCGTTGTTCTGTGATTTTATCAACATCAAAAAGTATGAACACTGACTTATTAATATCAAAAAGTTATTGTCGCAAGCACGATGTATATTGACACCATATGACGTCAAGCAAGTTATATTCCTCTGGAAAAAGGATTTCCAGGAAATCAGTGCACGGAAAAAACTAAAGAATCCCTTTGTTAGGGAAAGAGTAAATAATCAAGGAACGATCCTACAAATCTGAAAAACTAAATCAGTACAATGTATGTGTGTATATAATTAACACCATGAGTGTATAATTACGTTTAGTTGGTATGTGTGTTTGTAGATGTGAATTTCGGATTAAGTAGAATAATGCTTATACTGGTATGATGAGCGAGTGTATATGTTTGTATAAAGTTGATGCTAATATTGGTGTAATTTGTGTTTCGATATATACATATATAATAAAATATATGTGTATGTGTAATGTTTTGATGTTATGCGCAATTACAATTAAAGTGAAACGTTTGTCTGTATATATGCTGAAAGTATAATGTTTTGTTGTATAAAGCTTTTACATTATATTTTTTGTAACATTTCCGTTCAATATGTTATCATGATACTCTTCATGTCTGTATTATTCATTAAAGCAACATCAACGTGGTTCATGATATACCTTGTTTTGTTTTCATTATTTTATGCAATCGTAAAAACCAATGGTGTTGTTGAGTTTATTACATTTCCACCTGTTAAGTTTCAGGAATTATCTATTTAATAAAAACTTATATCTTCATTGTAGTGAAGATACACGAAATGTTACATGCATCACTTTGAGCATAGTCCAATCAGAATGGTACTTTTTAATCACTGCGTTGATTTTCAGTTTTATGTTCATATTATGTGACGGCACACCAAGTGATAATATTTGGACACCTTTGCATCATACAGTATGTTTTGTTTTGAAATCTTACCACATCATAGCATCAAATGGCAGAATTACGTTGAATAAACCAATTTAAATGCCCCCCTACCTTGGTGTCAAGCGTGACGTCATTATAATTTGGCGTCAGTCAGTACGCACATAATTCCCAAGTTTTGGTTTGCAAAATATCACTATTTATGACTATAAATCATTCAAAAGAACATGTTAATAAATTTTAAAACATTTGACCCCTGTGACCTTGAAAGTCATTATGTTTATAGCCCTTCATCTCATCATGCAACTTGTGAAATATCACCACCCTAGACCTCTTGTTTAATGAGATTAGGTCATTTAATGGTTTATATATATCAAAGGCTCAAATATACCCTTTTTTAGGTAGCAGTATACAGTATAAATGGCCCGACTCTGATAAACAAGGCAAATGTCGAGGAATGTAAACACAGCGGATTTACCCTACACAACACATGTATACATGTATATATATTTGTAAACTGCATTACATTTACAATACATATAAAGTACTGAGAAGTGTATAAACCTCTTTTTTCTATGTATGTCACTTGTGTGAAAACCATGGTTACCACATCAAAAATTACCAAAAAATGCCAAAAATTGCTATTTTTAACTCAAAATTTGACTCCCGCAACTAGTATTTTTTTCCTAAGCTCTGTCTAGAATTAAAGATTACCTACCTGGTTGCAGAATTATCTGGGTTCCAGTAAAGTTGTAAAACTCGATTTTTTGCAATTTTGCGTCGTGTGCTGTTGTCAAAATTTTACCTCCTGTAAAGCTAGCTTTTCATGTGTACGCACCCTTTCGGATTATGGCAAATTTTTTATTCTCGAACCAAAAAAATCTTCTTTCTTTTTTACAAATGTTAAGCTCACATAGCCCACTTCATCATGCTCATACCAATTCTAGTACAGTTTTATTTTTATATTTTTTTTACATATCATTATACAGGGGTTAGCCATTTAACAAAAATATCAACCATGGCAAAACCCTCTACTGTATACTGCTACCTTAGCATATCTTCAAAATGCTTGTCCACTCCCTCTGGCTGATGAATGGGGATGTGTCGCATCTATTGCTTGATTGGCTGTGCAGTGACCATGTCTATTTTGTGTTTTACTTTATCCGTGCGCCAAAATTCAGGGTTTGTTGCATGGACTATAGTATTGTATTTAAACAGCAGTTTTCCACGCTTTCCTCAATTCCTCAGCAGATACATGGATCTTGGATTTTCTACTAACTGTTTGACGTCTTTTCGCAAGGCATTGTTCTGATTCCTGGTCTTGCTGTACAACCTCAATCTTCGGTACCGTAGCCACACACGTACCAGGTTAAATCGTCGGTGGTTTATTGGCGGTGGTCATTATACGTACTGAAACAGTTTTTCCATACTTAACCAGATACCTTGCTATGGTTGCAGGATTGTTTTCCCGATGCTTCTCTCATAAGGTCTGTGGTTGGCTCCTGGATACCTTCAGGCACTACGACACGCCCTGGTATGATCAATTCATTGCGCGCTGGAACACAATCATGCATTTATGTTTTATTAACTTCGCGACAATCAGAATCCCTATCCCTATCCTGGAATATGCTCTCTCCGCAAGATCTCTCTTAAATTTAAGCCAATATTCTTCTTTGCCTAGTTTGGAACACGACAAAGAATCTTCAGACACACATTACATAGAGTTGTAACATCAAACACGTTGTTTCAAACAAACCAAGGTAGCTATCCGCGCATACCTGACCCCTCCTCGGCCGATGCTTTCCCTGTTTTCCCTGCATCTATCTCCAGAAGCTCACATACCCGAACCTCGACATCGAACTTTCATTTTTACTCTCAACTGTAGACTCCTTAATCCTTATTATGTACTTTTCCATCTTGACAAAACATGTACAGAAACTATTTATAAGTAGGTACCACCTATTGTACATGAGGCACGTGCAGTGATTAAAAGTAACTTTCTCAAAACAAAAGTTGGCTTGTTTTTCAGTCATACATGTCTGACTCTAGAAATTCCCCAAACCTATCTACATGTTCATCCCTGACTTTTAAATAATTACCATAGCTGTTGATAGGGCGTTTAACAATACTAAACCAAACCAAACTAAACCATTTGTAAATGATGCAGCGTAGGTGTGAATGTGTAAAATGTATGTATGTAGTATGTGTGTAGTATTTGGGGCTTTACAGTATCTGGTGCATGGTTATGTAAGAAGACTGTATATGGTGCATAAAACAAGGCTCATGTATATAGCAGAGATGCTATCTTCTTATTGGACGTATAGTGTTGTACATTCTATTGAGGAAGTGTTTACCGAATACATCTGTGTTGCACACTAGATGATGGTTATGCTGTATGGTTTACTTGGTATGGTGTGTGTATGCACACGGAGCAGCGTATATCTTGTATGTTTCGGTAGCTTTTGTTTAAAAGGATTCGTTGTTATATACAAGATACTCGAAGCTTTATTTAAAGTCATTTACGTATGAACATGGAACACTGACTCTTCTACTTCTACTTCTACTTCTAAATGGTACTGACCAACTTCAACAATTTGAAGATAAAATTTGAAAGCTCTTGACAGCTATTACTGCGACAAAAAATATATGAAACAACAATAACATAATGTAATAATAATAATGAGTTATATACCTGTTCATACTTACAGAAAAAGCACACTGCAGTGTCACTTATAAGTTAGATAATTAATATATTACATTTTCATATAACTGAGAGAGAAAACAGTATCATACACTGTACCCCAGGTTTTTAAGCGATTCGGAATTCCCTTCTTCCAGCGGGGAGCTGTTTATTTAAGCATTGAACTACTTTTAGTTTGCAGTCATAGGCGCTGCGTGTTGAATTTGAGTTTGTCCAGTTGGCTTTCATATTGCCTATGCATTTTTACAAATTCAAAATGCCCGCGCTTACTAGTATCGAAAGCGTAATGCCTGGAACAGCCAACAGCCAGAATTAATAGTGATTTGGAAAGATTTAAAATTCAATCTATTGTCACGCTTGATATCGTCTGCGGATTCCTACGAATTATAGCAGTAATACGGTCCTACCACGCTTCGTCTAGGAACAGCTGTTGAAGTTTAATACACAGTCTTTGAAAGATAAATTTGCAAAGAATCCGGGTGTAGACATAATGCTGATGGTTGACTGAACATTGACCTGACTCTTTGAAGCAAGGGAAACTGGTATTACGTCGGACGCCCGAGAGGATTCGGTAGACTACTTAGGGTTACCAACCGCCTTTTTCAATTCTACGGGACGCGGTGGTTGGGTGATACCTCTTTTCTTTTGGTTTGAGGACACGTAACGATTATAGGAGCACAGTGACAACTTACAACGATGGTCCGAAATGTAGTGATGAGCCTCGCTTTAAACTCGGTGTCATTTGAATACTGGAATGCTGTTGCCCGTAGGCAATGAGGAGTATACTGCTTGTCAAAATGGACGATTTACAGATGTCGTAGATGAAGCGTGCAAATGAAGGTTTTGCTTTGTGTTGTGCCAATTGTAAGTGGTCATAGGGGAGATGCAGACATCCTTGTTATATTGATTGAACAGATGTATGGTATTAACGTCAGATATTTTTTCTACAAAAAAATCCAGTAATTTGACTGCACACCAGAACGACTCCTTCGTCCGTTGTGCGTCGTCCGTTAACATTTTACATTT